TTTTGATATTGCAGCTTATGCCAACCAGTAGCGTGCAAGGCTCTACATTGATTATAACTGACTGACTCTGAAATCTAGTCCCAATAAAGTATATTGCACTTTCGGAATCAACATACATAATTCTGGCATGTTCATTTACCCAAACTTATCTACATAGTTTGGAGGACAAGGGTGCTCCACTTTTCATGAGTCTGGAAATCTATGGCACAAATATGATATCAGTTTGTTAATCGTGCGGCAAATATACGGCACAGAAATCTATTCTGTACTAATCTGATTAGAAAAATGACACATTGGGATTAAAGGACATTCATAAGCCACTGGTATTTGAAGTTAAATTTTACTGTTCGTATATGGTGCACCAGCCGAGTATAGTTAGGCGTAAGGTACTGGATTAAAAGGTCCAGCCAATCAGTGGAGTTTTGTACTTTCGAATGAGTTGGTTAGGACGTGCTTCAGGCATGTCTAGCCACTGCCTATGCTGATTTTAAATGCTAGTTATTGGATTAAAATAAAGAAACGGTAGATCAAAACATGACGAAAAACTTATGAACTCGTCGACCGTCAGTCTAGAACCCCCTTAATAGTCGTACAGTAAGATTATTAGTGTTTGGTGACAACTCGGTCACAGTTGCTTTTATTCCATATTCTTTAACATTTTATTCCTCGATTTTATTTATTTATTCTAAACTGGTTGATGACGTTCTCTCGAAATAATCAAACAATAATTTAAAGGGGTTTTGTCACTATGCTAGTTATGTGGAGTAATTATTGAAAAACTAGTCTTCTGTGTAAATTATGCAATGCTTGGTGATAAACCCTGCAGTCGGAAATAAAAGGACATTAACTTCGTGCCAGTTACATAGTTTTTAAGTTTATTTTCACACATTCTCTGCGAAGTTTACTTGTTGAAGTGATGAAATGTTACGTTTTAAATTTTCTCTTCATTCCTCCTTATCACTAAAATAAAATGTCAAAAAAGATATTTTTTAATATCGTATAATTTCAACAGCATGAAGGGAGTTCAAGAAATAAATATTCTAAATGATCATTCCTCTATGTACGATTGCACCTAGCATGCCGATTGGAAATTTCTACTATTTGTCGGCGCTTTAATTGGGTTGGTTGACTCAGAGAGTTCATCTGCTAGGGTTGGGAAATCCTGATTCAAAACTACCGGTGCACATGGGCTCCAGGGGGAGCGAACGATTTATGAGTCTGTTTTTGGTTATTGGTTACTATGGAATAGTATCTCTTAACTTTATTTTAATACCCTGTTTATCAGGCCTCTAGGTCAAAACATCGAAGAGAAACCTCCTAAGAAAACTATCTGCCTAAGTTTTTACACCCGAAGAGTGTCCCTGACTTTTCTCAAATATGGTAACCAAAATTATGAAGAAATTAATATGCTTGCTCCTCTTCCTCTATTACTGAAAGTATAATTAATATTCAAATAATCCAAATGTCTCGTTCTACTTTGTTTCATTCCGTTTTCTTCCCACTGTTTTATTTTATTTTCAACTCTCTCAGTAGCACGTCCACTTCGAGCTGGCTTTCCCATCTAAGTGATTTCAAGTCGATGACTGGCTGAAAATTCAAATGTTTCCATCAGATATGAAATCTGAACCAGCTTTCCTAAAACCACACGGTGCATTTTCAGTGGCCGCCATCAACGTTTATGCAGTGACCCAGAACTTTCAACAGATAGGTTTAGCTACGTTCGTGGAAAGTAATGACATTGACGTTAGCTATATATACGAGACCCTTACTTAAAACTTTAATGAAGTACCACAAATTTGTTCGTTATCTTTCGATTTGAAAACTTGTTTCATGTCCATTCATCCGGTGAATATGTGGCATCTTCACCCAATTCGGCTGGCATTAATCTATAGGACTCTCATTAACAGTCATTTATTCGCCATCAGATTAGGAAGTCCCATTAATGTGAGAAATTGGATTGGGGAACGATGTCTTTTCAAAACCCTCCCATATGCCCTGAAAGATTATAGTCTGAGTGGAATCGAGGATGAGTTCTACTAACAACCAAATTATCTTGTTAAGAAATCTCATTCAACAAACCTTGTAGTGTTGGCCAAATGTGTAGGTTTGTGTACAGAGTTGTTGGGGTGGCCGATTGGGATTAGTCGGTCAAACGTCCGATAGCGGTGACCGTCTTGTGGAAGCATGAGCATATCACAACTTGTTCCTGTTTAGCACCAAATTCCTGCACTTTTCGCAAATATGCTACCTAGCGCCTTCTCTCTGCAACTGAACCTACACCAAGACTGGTCTCTTTGGAACCAGATACCCCTGGACTAGTTGTGTACAAAAATAATGCTTCTTTTATGGTAACTATCTAGACCTTGATCATCTTAGGTTTTAGTGGCTATAAATTCGTCTTAAACAGGTAGGTATAAATCACCTGAAACTTTCGTCACAACCAAATACCATATTGAGTTAGGTTCAAGGATAACTATCAACCCACCGAAAAGTTTAGATTAATACTAGCTGCATTTGTATAACGTCGTGGAAATGTTGAGTAACATCGCTTACAAGCGCTGAGTTTCTACAACATGTTTTCAACTCCATGAGGTACGTCGGTCTATTCCATCTAACTTTGAGCTTGATGACAAATGCAGATTCTTACTTAAGGAAATCGTGCTAAGTTCGCATAGTGACGTAGAAGTCTGGTGGTTGGAGCGCTCTGAAGAATTCAAAGTTGCTTCCTTTAACTGATGTAAGCTGTTTCAACTCATGTGTCATTGGTAGCAAGAAGATTAGCGATTGAAACAATCTACGGAGCTGATGAGACGCCATTAGATAACATCAAACTATCTCCTGGAAGGTGGGTAGAGTTCTCCGAAGGTATTTCAGTTGAGTGACGACCCATTCAACGAGGCGGAGGTACACGGGGAATGTTAACGCTAGGAGCCCAAGTCACTAGGATTGGAGGACATACTACCGGACTGTTCAGGAATGGTGGCAAACTTCTGGTAAGGGAGCTGAATGGGTTGTTTAGACAGTTTTGAATAGTGTTTCATCACTGTTAAACGAAGCGACTATGATACCTACATTTGAAAAGAACCTATATCATCTATTCGACAACTATGTATGGAAAAGTCCACTCCTGGGTGAATATAAACTATAGGGTTCCGTCATAACTCGCGAGGAACAGGATGGTTTTCGTTCAGGTTGTGAACGCGTTGATCATATTCCCACCTTTTACCGAATGTCAGAGGACCACCGTACCTATTGCAAGCCAACAGTATTCATAATTCTTGACCTCAGGGCCCCCTTCGATTAGTTGGATAGGACTGTTCTCGTCTAGTGAAGTGTCCTAGAAGTTCGTTAACACCTTGAAGGCTCTGCATCTAAGTACCTAAAGAAGAATGGAGGTACACAACCACCTCTTCCCATCGTCCCACTTGAGCGATAAGGATAGGCAGAACTGATCAATTTCACCATTCCTCTTCAACTCTGCCATGACATTCTGGAAAAAGCTCTGGTAGTATGTAGTGGTGGTATGGGCCCGTTACCTATTCGAAGACACTGATCTTGAACATGGGGATGATAATGTCTCGCTATGCAATGATATTGAAGTTATCCAAATCGTACTTAAGTATTTGGCAATCAGTTTCCATAGGTATGACATGTACTTTGGAACTTCTAGATAAAAAGCACTTCAACAAAGCTAGTAGGAGCGTGTGTACACTGACTCCTGATGGTGAGCAGTTAGAAGTCGGAAACTATTGTATTTGGGTAGTTTTGTGTGCTGATGGTAGCGTAACTGATTAAGTTAATTTGCGTATAGTAAAAGTTAGAGTGGCCTATGCCATTTCAGAGTCATCATGATGTTAGTCCGGCTGTAAAAGACTAGGTCTACGACGCGTTTGTGAGAGCAGTTTTGGTTCAAGCTCTTAAAACCTGGCCTCCCCAAGTTGATTGTTTGGTAACTTTCTGTTTGATGACTGTTGTCTCCAAAGGAGTGCAGATAACTAGTGAGAATACCACTGGTAATCTTGGAGTCCAATCGTTTGTATTAGGGCAAAGTGACAATAATTCAGTTGGTCCCCACCATGAAATACCGGCCTCGCTGGCTTTGGCACGTGCTAAGAATTTTTTCACAGCGAGATCTACATTTTGGTTTCTTTGCCGACTCTGAACCTACACAGAAGTAGATAAGTGTTGAATATATAACATGGAGGAGCGGTATGAAAGAAGCCAACTGCTGGTTTATAACGATTCCTATGTTCGGATCTTAGAGGTAGTATAGCCATTGACTTAAAAAGTTATCAGGCATGGCTCGCAACAAAAGTCAATGACAGGCGTTTTGTAGTTTCATTTTAAATTCCTGGTAAAAGCCAAAGGAACTTTTTTAACTGAAAAAAATGCTTTTCACTTGTATTTTTCGAACTAACTAGTCTCCCCTATTATAATTTGTTTTTTTCATTTATTTATTCGACAATGCTTCCTCGCCTCTCCCCATCCCCCAAAAACTCATTTTCTTATTTGTGTGGAGCATATTTATTTTGTTACCTACTTGTATCAGTAGTTAAGTCAATATAAAAACATTAGAGTTCTCGTGTTTCAACGTAATTTCCAACATGGTTGTAAGTTAATAATAATACAGTTAAAGTCGATAAGAACTTTATGACCGCCGTTTAAATTAGGTTCTATATATGAATTCTTCACCGTCAAAATTTATCATCACAGTGTATTGTAAGAGAATACATTTTCTACCTGAAATTCAAATTTACACATTATTAAGGCACGCCGTTTGTGAAATAATTTTATGTTATGTAAGCTATATAACTTTGTCAGAGAGAAATCATTGTCGCGCTTGTATAACTACTCTTCCACGATGAGCCTTAGAATTATTTCAGAGATACTACTAGACATCTATGTTACCAATTTTCAGGCCTTTTCTCTTATTTCTTTATTAAGGTTTGCTGAAAATGATTTTCGGAAATATTTCAAGTCATTGAATTAATTACAACTTTGTGGATCTGATGATATTTCTGAAACTTATTTAAAAGAATTCCTAGGTTATCACACCTACATTGTCAAGGCAAACAACCAAAATAATATATTTCTTCAGAAATTAATTATGCAGTTACTAAAGGACACTGGGTGAGAACGAAGATGGGAAACCTGATATTCAAGTAAATAAGGAAAAAATAAACGGTCTAAACACGTCTGAAGAATAAAAATAAAATAAAAAACATATGTCCTGATAGAAAGTAATTACACTTATACAGTTTTAACAGAAAATATTCTACTCGGTAACGCGCGAGCTGAAAAACTCTTGAAGTATTCTGAAGCGTATTTCACTACCTCATCTGGTTTATGAAATAATAATGATTTAATAAAGTCAGAAATCATATCATGTATCTCTGGGTGATCGCGCAGATATAAAAGATATTGAGCTTTGATTTTATCCTAAAAAACGAAAAAAATGAATCTACATCAATGATGACAGAAGGAAAAAGCAATTTGTGAACTCTTTGCATTAATATGTAGTGAAATTTAGAGAACAGATGTAAATGATGGAAATTTAGATTTCTCAGTTCTGACTTCATATTATTCGGTCATAAGCAATATCACTTATAATGATACTGAACCAGAAATCCTTATGTCGTGCTCAATTAACTCGAATGTCGTTATCTTTATAATATATGAGAGACTTATTTACCCGCAAAACACTACTAAACGTTATTGTCCTTTTGTTTTAGAATTAATCAAAAACTATATTTCATGCATTTAGAAATTTGTTTCCCAACAACTGGATATTGATTTCAAGCTGACTCCACTTACTTTAGTCTTGACAAAAACTTATTGAATCTTATTTCCTCTCGATTAGCTTGGTTTACCAATTTTCAAACTTTCCGCTGTAAATTTGATTTCATTTAATTCGAATGTGCATCTTTGGAGCATACTTATAATGAGAAAGTACTTCTAACTACAAACTTAACAAAGGTTTACGAAATTCAAAGTTAATGTTAGCAATAAATTTTACCTTTCGGTCTAAAAAACGCGAATAAAGTTCCAGATCATCTTCCCAATTTAAGGAGACCTTTGTGACGACTGGTTTAGGCAAATATGTTTCTAAATTAAAGGACATTTAAAGGAAATAACTGGAAAACAAACCTTTTTTGAACAATTCAGGTATGGCGTTCGCCTTTATGGTGATCGGAGAGCCAACTTGTATTCTTAGTATCATATGGCTGAAACAATTTTGAGAAAACTTTTCACTACTTCTACTTTAAAAATGACAAGATTATAGGGAGATCGCTATTTCAATTGACTTAAATTTCAAAGAATATGCGAAGACGATTGATTAGATATGATTCCAATCACTAAACGAATGTATGGCTACGTATTGAGTACAGTAAATGTATATAAACATACACATGAAACCTCATTTTCTCAGACTAGCGCTACTAATGTAGGTAGTTGTGATTTTTCAAAGTAGTCTAATCGTGACGAAAACCTATCTAGCCAATAGATTCCACTTACCTATTCAAAATATAGTAGTTTATATTGATATCACTAATCTTTTCTGAACTAATGAGGCTTAGACATAAAGTATTTGAGTATTCCGTATTTTACCTGACCATCTACTAATGGGTTTGATTTCAAAACGTGTACGAAGTAGCTGAAACATACAGTTACCATTACGATACGCACATTATGATTACATCTAATCATAAACTATTACGCATAAATATACAAAAGCACATATCACCTACCAGTTAAATACTAAACGCTGAACTAACTGATGAACAGTACTTGATTGACTGGGTGCACTACAAATTAGTGACAATTATTTAAATTAGCATGGTGATTTATGAAGGGTCACTAAACGTATTTATGATTACACTCACTGTAATGTACACGGTTACAAATTATTTATTTATTTATTTGAACACATATGTTGGTACAAGGGGGCATCAAAAATATATGCGCCACACAAAACAATGAAAATGGGGACAGAAAAAGAAGTTAAGGTGTGTTTATGAGAAAAAATGCTCTCACACGGCCACGCGTATACAGCCTCTGCCAGGGAAGTCCTACTCACTGCCTTCTCACGGCGGTGTTGTTAACGATATTGAGAGGACGAAAAGCGAATGTCCGACGCCTTAACCATGCCGATGAACACGGTGAGTCCACCTACGGGAGGATGGAAAACCCTGATTCCAAACCAATGGCGCACATGGGCTCCAGTATCCTGCGGGGACAAATGGCATATGAACCAATCGTTGGTCACCGGTTACCATGAGATCGCATCTCCTCATGATGCTCCACTGCCTTGTGGGTCAGACCTTTAGTTCAAAGGCTCGGGGTGTGGCCCCTTTAGAAAACCACCTGCTTTTGTTTGCGTACCCGGTCAGTATCACAGCCCACACACAAATAAAATGAAATAACTATATTCACTGAAAATACCATTCACCCTTCGGTCACAAATAAATTGGGCGTTTAATAAATATACGTGAATACAGTCACATATGGATGTGGTGTGTGTTTTGTAACCTTGACTTGTGTCTTTAAAGCAATGTTGCGTCTCCTACAAACTATTAAAATCTATAATACACCAGTTTAGTGTAGTAGCTCACACTTTTTATACGTTTTAATGAAAATATAAGAACGTAGGTCGTTTAATTTCGTGACTTGCCAGCTTATCAAGAAAAGACACTTGAAAACAACAAAGTAAAAAGCTTTAAAATAAGGTTAAAATACTCTTACCCGTCCTGCATAAAGTAAGTTTGCCAGGATGACGGGAGGGCTTTTTGAGAATGCACAGTCCTCTGGATTCCTCTCACTGATATTTCACTATTTCCGACGAATACGTTTCTTTCTCCAAGATTAATCTGTTCATTGTTGGAAAATGTTTTTGAAAAAAACCCACATAGGACACCGTGGCTAGATTATAATCTGTATCTAAACCAATAACCTCGAAAGGAACAGAAAAAGCAGATTTAACCAAAATTCGCTGAAAAATCAAATCTGAACCCTCGGCAATTAACCCTAATACATTAGATTGGGCTAATTTTTTCTTTGTTGAAAACTTAATTTCTCCATTCACTGATTCAGTACAACCGATTTCATACACATTCTCAACAAGTTCGATGGTAGACTTTCTTTCCACAACACTTCCGTTCGTCTAGAACATATCTTTGGAAAAAATTTTCAACATACCACAATGGTTTCTAATTTTGTTTGGGAAATTGTCTCAAGAGAGGAAGTTATATGTGCTTCAAGTGTCGTAGTGCTATGTATTTCCCCTAGCATGGTTCTAATTGACGTTTTCACAAGAAGCCTTTTCATATCTAGATCCTTATTCGTAACTCGACACTAACGTTAAAACTGGAGTTATGGATATATTATTACCTCATATGACCCTACACCTTTGTTATTATTTGAATAACATACGAGAACGTCATCAAACACAACAGTTTCCAACTTTTCGGCCTCTTTCGAAGTAGAATAATTGTTAATCTAATAGCTACCCAAATTCTGTAGAAACTGCTGGGCTGTAACATTCATGCAAGCACCACACTCCATTCTTCTTCATATAACTTCAAATAAGCCAAATAAACATTGACGACCAGATCCATCGAATTAATGTGAATAAACAAATACTAGACACATACTACTGTTTCGTTCCTATCTGAATAAGAAGTGGAAAATTTTCCATCAACACTTCAAACCACCGCTTGCAGAACATTCAAAGCACGTTTTGCGTCGGACGCTTTTAATACTATCTGGCCTAAACGGAAAACTGAAAAATAAAGATAATAATTTATGGGACGGCCAAACCGTCAAGCCAGAGGTTTTCATGCACATCTTACATATTGTCGCGGATAAAAAGCACTTAATGAATAGGCCTTGATTACTACCATCTTGGAATGCACTTCGTGGGAATAAGTTCTGAGTCAATTCATTCCGCGTTCCTTCTCAGTACCTCAGTATTTTTCATACGTTTCCTTTGTGACAATTTATATCAAATATACCGACAATGCATCTCAGCATGCCTAAGAACCATCTCTTGAAATTCAAATAGAGAAATAATAAAATAATCCATTCTTTGTTAATGTCTGAAAAATTTGGACGCAAAATAATAAGCTGTCAGCGTAATATTATTAGACAGATAGATTAAATATCTATTTTCATAAACCTAAAAATGTTTGGGATCATAGGTCACTAAGGGTCAATAAGCGCAAGTTAGACATAATAGAGTTAGATAAAGGTTTAGATATCCACTAAACTAATTATTTTTCAAGATTTTTCAAGCCACAGAGCACTACTTTCTAGTACATCATCGTGGTAGTTGAATGTTAACAAATAAAAACATTTGACCTTATGAGCTCATCCACGAGACCTTTTCCTGATTTCTTAGACAGTTAAGTGTCGTATTGTTCCTCGTCATGTAAGAAGATTTCTCTCGGAAAATTATTTTTTAAAGTGAATCAGACATGATATGGTTAACCGAAAATGGCATAAAAATTTATTTAACAAGTTTAACCGGATGACGACAGTAAATCAAGTGATTATTATGTATTAGTGGATCATATCTGGCATATATGCACACGTGATGTGCAGCGAGACTTCTTATCTGACTAGTTTGCTCACTAGAATCGTTCCGCGAAAGGTTGAAAAGTTATTTGATGGGCAGGTTTAACTGAGATAGTCAGCATCAATGTCATATTCTTATAAAAATGTCTATTTCGCGGAATTGAAGAATACTTCACTTACGTCTTTCTAGTTACTGAGAAATATAAGTGAGTGAGTGTGCACATTTAGAAAGGACTAATCAGGATTTTAAGTGGCTAAAATTGCCAAAAATTTCTATAGACGCTTCAAGATGGTGGAATTATAATGTTGTAATAAATATATTGCTAATAATCATAAATTATCTCCGATAACAATAGGTCGTATGAACTTAAGGTGTAAAGTATTATTAAGCGTATGAAAACGTAATAATATTATTAATGAATTTCTGATATGCTTCCACCAAAATATCGCATGTTTTCGGTTTCTTAAAAGATTTACTTCACAATAATATCCAAGTTAAACAACTTTCAGAGTGTATTATTTCAAGCCTATAACAATTACCTGACACATAAAAATGGGATGGACGTCTGGAAAAGGTCATTACAAGAATTACAGTATCAGAGGTTTCGATATAAGACCTGACAATACATTGGCTATTTACATATTTGCTTCGAAATAAGGTGACATGACACTATTGTAATAATTATATATAATTAGATATTGTTTATTAGCATTCAGAATGTGCTGTATATTGAATGGTAGTTCGACCGTAACTCTGACTGCTTTCTTTAGCCACGAATAGCAGACAAACGACTGATATTATTCGTTTTTACGCTTTGTGAAAGCCTTACTAAATACCCTATATCGGTTTACTATAAGACCCATGCCAATTAGCCTAAAGGATCAAAGTTGAAATGTAACATTCGATGCATATTAAAACAATACGGTAACGTTTCATTAGACAAACCATACAGTCTGCTAAGTAAAAAATAATGTAAATAGTAGTGTTGTTTCAGTGATATAACAACCGTAGTTTTAAAACTTAATATGTATTTTTTTAAGGGAGCATCGAAAGTGTGTACACCAGAACAAACCGGGCATGTAGTGTTATTTGATTTGTAACAACCTCTTAGTAGAGACTATTTCATTATTTAAGACAACATATCAACAAAAACATTTCGTGCACTAAAACAGTTCAGGTTTCATCACACAATTGTTTCAACAATGTTCATAATATTTTCACTGACTCCATAAAGTGTCGGATATTGATTTGTCGTCAAAAATTATGCGCCAATGTTTTCGTAAATATGAACTAGAATAAGAATAAACAGTTATATATGTTTTGCAAACAGAATCCAAAATAAATCATGGTTGTAGCCTACACAAACAGTTATAAAAGTAAATATATGAAAGAAGGAATTTGTAGTTGATAGAAACTTAGACGTAAGTGAAGCATATTTTGAGTAAGAGAGCATATGTAAACAATTGTGTAGGTGGTACCAAGTTAGTAGCCGATTATCATCTTCAGATGAACCCAGTATGACATTTTGATAAAACAATGAATCTAAGTATTCGGATGAAAATATATGTATTTATGTAGTAAGATAAAAAACATTTGGTAATGGAATAAGCATTAGATCAGAAACATCTAAGAGTAGTGTGATAATATATTTGTAACCAATCATTTACATGGCATTCTTACCGGTTTGGTCAGAAGTATGCAACAACGGTTTACATCTGATTTGTCAAGAAATATTTATAACAGAAACTGCATAGGAATTTACTAACTTTGTATTTGTATGATATATCCGTCTATTAAGTTTATAGATGTTGTAAAGTGACAATTGAAATCCGCTTAGTATAATCTCCGACCCTGAACTTCGCATACGTTACGACTGTATTTAAGATATGTAAGACGATCCATGACTGTACACTGCAAACGTGCTGCTAGAAGAAAGAGAAAGAACTGTGAGTTGTTTGATATAAAAACAGAACAGTTTCTTATCGTTTTCAGTTGGACTGACAAAACATGACAAATGAGAAGACAAAACGCGTACCACATGTTGTCAAAGGAATCTGTTGTAGTTAAAATGTCTTCAAGCAAAAGTGCTGCAGTAAATATACAACAAAATGGGATGCGTTTGAATAATGGCTTCCAATTCGATGTAGGAGGCGAGGATGCTTGTTGGGTTCCAAAACGTAATAAAAGAACGTTGTGTTTAAAAACGCTAATAAATTTAAAATTCATCACTAATTATTTTCTACCATTTTTTAATCAAATGCCAGCTGCTTAACCATAGTACAAGAGTATAAGTCAGCAATATAATCGGCTATTTTAACGGAATAGAGAAGCAAGAATAAGATTGGAAGCGTCAGCCTAAATAGTAGCTAGCATAGGAGAAGAACCTTGTAGCGGTAAATGAATCCCCAAAATAAATAGCTCTTTGGGTTTTCGACATTGGATGCTGACCACATGTTTTAATGGACTCACCTAGCTGAAGGCGCTCGGTCATGCATCCGCACCAGATCACGAGTGGGAACGCCGTGTAATGGCTAGCCAGATTGGATCAGACGATTCCCGAAATATTGATATCACATCAAATATATTTTCCGATCTCCTCGATTCTGTCTTTTGATTTCTCCTGGTGGGTACGCTTCATTTTGGGTGTTACTGGTTAAGGCGTTGTCAAACATTGAGTACCTGTGCCATCTTCATTGACGATCTGGTACACCAAATCGTAAATTGTGTCTTCCTTTTTAAGATTCTATATATCATCGCCTTATCTTAATTTTTTATACATTGTATAAGATCCGTTTTGAATGTTTTGTGTGTGTGCAAAAATCCTTCCATGTATATACTTGCACTTTGTTCCTATTGATCTTCTTAGTTGTACGCTGTTAGTTTTTTGATTACATTGAATTGTTAATACTTGTATTTTATTATAGTTTTATGTTCTTTACGTCTTCACCAAGTCTCTATGTTTATTCCCGAATTGCACTTAGGTTGTTTTACTTTATACTCAGTCTTTGCGGCAGCTATATTGGTTTGTTCCTACTTTTGATTGCTTTACCTGTGTTGACTGAATTTGTGCATTTTCAGTGGTGAATTGAAGCACTCTTCCCGAACCGGAAACACCGTGCTATAAAGCGACCAAATATTATCTTTTGATCGAATCTGTGCGTGATCTATCCAGACAGGATAGAATAACATTTATTTGTTGTGACTGGTAATTTTCTTGCATCCTTTATCAACTCCCTTATTTATTGTAATTTGGATTTGATTAATTAAACAATTATTGGTTGGGCAGCTGAGTGGTTATATTTGTTTAGGTAACAATCTGCATTTAAATTTATGATGAATTATAAATCCGTCATTTTACCCAATTACTTTGTTTTGGTTTCAAAAGGGCATTGGCGAGTATCTAACCCACATAATCAGCCGTCCATTAGTCCAAACCTTATTTCGGGTCTTGCATATTGTGCAAGCATGCCGCCACCGAAAAACTCTTTTCAATTTCCTAAAGTTCAAAACCCAGAAGAAAGTAATCCCGATGTAGGTGGTGTCTAACCTTCTAAGATTGTTGACTTAGATTCAACCCTAAGTAGTTTTCTAATGAAGAATGGGATAGCACAGTCCAAATCCCTGTTATTGCAACACCCAGTTACAGTAACTGTGCAACGGACAACAGGAAAACTAATCATAACATTTATATAACTGACCACACACTTAATGTCGATATATTCGAACCTTTCAAACCATCATAAGTATGTTTAAAAGCACACAATTCTCCCCGTATTACGAAGAAGCCGAAATTAACCACAAACCTCGGAAATAAACGTCTGGAAAATGTTACCCATACGTCAGGTACAAATAGTAATCTGAATTGTAGATGGTCACTTGGTCGCACACATGACCTGATAGCCTTCTTGGTCCGGCTCCCAATATTTTCACTATGCTTTAATCAGATGTTATATCCAATAGCAAGGAGAAGACATTTTTTGTAATTCCTTCGGCTTTTCTGCCGGCCACAGCAAACATTTCAGATGGTGACAAAGTGGTTGAATCTATTTCCCCTCACAACACAACTCTTACCTTATCCAATTCTACGAGTATTTATGGAGCTACCAATCGCGATTTATACTCTAACCTGCTTCACCATGGTAACTTTGAGTTTC